GAGGCCATCCTGGGGTAACTAATGGGTTCAAGGCCAGCATGATCTGCCTACTGAGACTCTGTCTCAAAAAAAAAAAAGAAAAAAAAAAAAAAACCAGGAAAGAAAAGTAAAAGTACTTTTTATGAATGAAATTAAGTATTACAGAAATAATAGTGTTAAAACAAATAGCCATGCTGAAAGTCTCATAAAATTATTTCTTTTTCATCATGTGGCAATTTGTAGAATTCACTTTTATCCAGAGCCCACTGATCCTTCGACCGTTGCTTCAGACTCTTCCAGCAGGAATCTGGCTCTGGCAACATTTCCATTCCTATGACCCTGAGCGATGAAACTTTAGAACAGGGTTTGACTCCATGTCCATGTGGACGTCCGGCCTGTCCAGTCAGTCGTACCTGGCCATAACCACTGCCAGTCAGCAGGCCTCTTTCCAGATGATGTATAGAAACTCAAAACTCTCTACAGGTCTCCTGCTTCATCTTTTTCCTTTCTTTCATTCAACTTCATGTTCCCACTCAATTCAGCTTTTAAAAATTTTTCTTATAAAACTAGGATTGGAAGTCCCATTCATTCCAACTATTCCTCCCCTGAGTATTTTCCCAGAAAAAAAATCGAAACTGTCATGTAACAGTGATATATATGCACCCATGTTTATAGCATCACAATTTGTAATAATAGCTAAATCTTGGAAACAACCCAAATGCCCATCAAATGCAGAATAGATGAACAAGATGTGGTATTCTTATACATTGGAATATTACTCAGCTATAAAAAAGATGACCTTGAGGCTTTTATAAATAAATGGAGGCAATTTGAGACTGTATTCATAAGTGAAATAAATCAGATACATTTTCAAATACCATGTTGTCTCCCTAGTGTAAAAACTAAATAATAATAATAAACTGAAAGATTAATAAGATCCAAAACATACAATAGCTATTCTAATAATGAAAGGTAAAGTGCTCAAAAGAACAACTTGTAGGCGTACACATATAATTGTATGTATGTATGTGTTCAGCATAAATAACCACACTACTAATTCTCTGTTAGTTCATCAAATAGAATAGTTTGTGCAATCACTGTTTGATTTCCCATTCATTTTTAATACTTAGATTTTTATAAGTTGAACAACAACTTCTAAGATAAAAATATGTAATATGTTAGGTAGCATTGATTTCTTAATATTTTTTTTGAAATTCTGTATTATTTCTACCCTTTTTCCTGTTTTGCTTTTTAAAAATAAAAAATAATTCACACACCCAAAAAAATTGTACAAAAGTAATTGTGCAAAAATAATGTTATGCTACCTAATGCTAAAATATCTATAGTAACTCTATCATGAAGAAATAAACATGTACTCCTTAATCTAAAATTTAATGATGTCCATAATCTAAACTCACCTTTTAGGCAGTTTTCTTTCTCAGTATAGCTTCTGGTCCACCAGGACAGCGTGGACACTCAATTGACCTGAACCAGATACTCCCAAATGTTAGTTCTAATGGGAGGGACTCACCTTGTGGTTTCCACCAGGCTGACTTCTATGATATAAAACCAAATTCAGATTCCACACTTCAAGTGTTTCTGGGCATCTCCATCAGAAAGACATCTCTCTTCCTTTTCTAATCTCATGCTGCCTACTCACTGGAGTGGTGCTTTACGCTCTTCGACTTTTTGATGCACATGAATCCTCTTTCCTCAGCTGAACGGCACATGTCTTTAGAGCAAGGGCCAAAGTCACCAGGAGCTGCATCCCTTTAATAATCCCTTAAATGTTGACACTTAAGGGCTGGGGATATAGCTCAGAGCACAGTACCTGCCTGAAAATGTGAGGTTATGATTCAATTCTTGATACAAAAAAAGTTGACACTCAACAAATAATTTAATTTAATTAACTGAAACCTTTTGTACCATGTTTTCTAAGCATTCTAGAAAATATATTCAAAAATATAATGCTCTATATGTGGTATTTTTATGTATGCCATTAAACAAAATAGAAGGTAAATCTTTGAATTAACTATAGAGGAAACCACAAAAACAAGTTTACCTATATTTTCTGTCTTCCTGTTTTTGAAAATGTCCTTTTCTTATTGAATGTGTTTAGATGGAGCATTTAAAAAGTTTGTCCAAAACTTGTAAGGCAATCATGGCTTGCCTCTGGCAGAAATAATGTGTCGTCCTGCTTCCCTTTGTAAATAATTGAATTTGCCTCTGAAGTTCAAGAAGTTCAAGATTTCTTTTCATGTGTGAAACTGACTGTTCTGTTTTCTTTTTATATGCAGCAGACTATAATATAAGACAGAAGAAATGCTGTGCAACTGGGATTTAGTGAGCAGGAAGGATAATAGAAAGATTGACATGACTTCCATAGAAGAGTTATTTTTAAGTATAGACAACGCTTATCCCCAGACTGAAAGGGGCTTTAGAAAATTTTACCAGGGTGCAAAAGTAGTGGGGGCGATGCCCACTGCCTGACAGCGACGCTGTCTGTGGGCCACTGCTGCCACCTGCTGAACACACACAGCCATAGAGGGGTGGGCAACTCCTCAAGCTGGAGGGTACCGGATGCATTCGATTAATATTCTGTGGGCATCTCTCAGGGCTGGGAGTATCCTCAGGGAAAATCAGTCAAATCCGATGTCTTCAGGCCACGAAAGTTTTGAGACATAAAAATCAGGAACCTAAAAAACAGCTAAAGAGGGCAGATTTGCCCAGGAGCCACTAAACACTTGCAACAATCCAAACCCAGTGAGAGGCAAGGGTTCTATTAAAAGTGTGTTTGTAGCTCACGAAAATAAATGACAACCTTTCCTTCTATGAGATTTTTAAAGCATTGCTTCACTTTAATACAGTTGGAGATAGGAGACATCCAAATACTCGAAGGGCAGTGTTCTAAGAGAATTCAGTGAGCCTGATTTTCATTGGTTTTCTAGTTAGTAAACACCTCTTAGCACAATTGGATTGAACTAGGAAGAGTCCCTTTTCCGGGTTGTAAAATATCCTAATCCACTGGATGCACTGCCCTACAGATGAGGATCTTCAGAACATCTTCTGGTTTTTTGCCATGTTTCATCATTTTGATTTACTGCAATTTCCAGGGGGAAAAGAAAGTGGTGGGGGTGCTCAGAGCAGTTACGTCATCCTAGGACTGAACATTCAAATGCTTCCTAGAAAAAATCACTCTCAGCGTCACCTGACTCCACATCCCAAGTAAAATTTGTAGGAAGCTGGGTGGCAAATAGAAGGCTTGGGAGAACATGGACTAAGAAATAAGTAACTCCATCTTCTGGCTTTTGAAGACAACAAACATTAACTGAGTAGTGAAAGGGATGCTGTCATAGCAAGTCATGGTAGCACTGGTCTAGGTGTCAGTCTAGACATCCAGAAAGATGGTAGGCCTTGACTCATCACACAGAAATATCTCTTCTAGCTAAATTCTAATCTCTGAATAGGAAGGGTGATTCTTTTTGGCTTTACATCACCTGTATTGTCCTAAATCCTTACATACTTAAATGATAGCAGCTTGCACAATTGTCTCCATTGAACCTCAGAAATAATTGTAGATAATTCATCCTTCTCATTTGTGTTTGATCTTGCAAAAATTTCTGTAAAAAGGCTTGTGCCACTGTATAGTTCATTGATCTTCCTTATGGCATGTATTATTACTCTTTTTCATTAAATTTTCACTGTAGATCCTCAGCCTAATGCATATTTACCTAATGTTAAAAAATAAAGATTGCCTATTTTATCCCAAGTTGGGACAACCAGAAAGGTAAGGAATTTCTATCATGTCTTTTCATTATACCAGACATTTTTACAGGAGTTCCTTCAATGAGATTACTGTGATCCTCTAAAGGGAAGTAGCTGAATGAGTGGAATAAGCCTGCTAGGTGGGGGAGGTAGAAAACCCTTTGGCTTTGGATTAATCAGCAAAAAGGCCCCCAGCAGTCCAGGTGACAGGCTTTCTCATTGGCCCTCCCTCTTCTCCCAGACACATGTGACAAGGAGCACTCACTGCATCCATTTCAGAAAATATGGGCTGCCTTGCAAGAGAAAAGATGGTAAAATTCGTAAAACTGAATGACTGCTCCTTGCAAATGTTCAGATTGTATCAAAATTGCATATGCTTCTACATTGTTGTTTCATGCTGCACATAGTCTGGAAATAAAATATGTTTAATGAAAAAGGAATAAAAATAATGACACAATTTCAAACCAAATTAATAGATTACTAACAATGATTAATATATTGTATAGTGTTATCTTCAAAGTAGTTGTTCAGATTACAAAATATAGGCATAAAAATGATCAAACAATCAAAACGATGAAAGGCCAAACTGTTGTTTTTGATGAAGTAACAGAGATTATTAGTATAGTTATCTATCTTGAAAATACATACATGTGTATAGTCTTTTGTCTTCTTTCTCTTCTCCTTTTCCTATCCCAATTGTTCTTTCCTTTTGAACGCTTTCTTTCCTTATCACTTTCACAATATCTGTTGTGCATTTTCAATCTTATTTACTCTCAGTTTTTATACTAAGGAGACAATGCAATGTTTACACGTGGGAATCTAATTTATTTCACTTATGAGTATAGTCTCAAGTTGCATCCATTTACCTATAAATACTTCCTAAGATTGAACAGAAAACTATTATGAAAGACATAAAGTTCACATTTCTTAAATAACTTTGTGCTTTTGGGAAAAGAAGTGTAAAAAGTATATTGGCAACTTGTCTGCATGCTTTCCTTATTTGGATCTTAGAAAGAGCTTTCTTGACTGACAAATGGATCCTAAAGGAGAGAACCTTTAGATTCAGAAAAGTCTTCCAAAGAAGGTGATACACAAGATTTCAGAGAACAGTTTCAGCATTGTTCTGTTGAAGGTTACACTTAGCCTTAAACCACACTACCTTCCTGCCTATGCTGCATTTCCTGAAGACTCACCGCAAAGCACACAGACCCAGGCCTGTGGTAGATTTGGGGATTTGAGTGCAAATAGGGGAGGAGGAGCTTGCTTGGTTATAGACATCTATTGACTTTTGTGATCATTACGGAAATGCTGGTGTAAGCTCTTCAGGCAACAATGGAGAAAAAATGGACATATTATGCTGTCTGCTCCATCATCCAGATACAGTTTGTCAGGGGTAAGACCTCTAATTGTCTGTTCTTGTCAGATCACTTGCTTTCTGGGATTATGTTCATTTGACATGCCTCCTGATTCCTATTAAATTTGATCCCTAAAGGGCAAATAGTTACGAAAGTTTTCAGTTATGTATTTAGATGCCAGCTATCAGAGATTACTAATGAACGTTAAACAAAAGAGAAAGGACTGTGTGATTTGTGCTGCTTCTCAGAGGTCTTTCACCTGTTTCCCTCTCACGTGAATGTTGGGACTACTCAGGAAGCTGCTTCTTGGAAATGAACAGCAGTCAAAACAATCCCACAAAACTAAAAAGCATCACAAAGCCTACATCCGGGCTCAGAGCTCCTTGTTCAGTCTTTTCTTCCTCTCTCAAGCTTGCTTTTTCTTTTGGATATAGCAAGTATTTCTCCTCCAGATATTAGTCTTTTTGAGGGGATGGTGAATATTTGTTGAATTATACTCGGCTGTATGTAGATATGGCTTTAGGAGACAAAGGAGAGTCCCTAGCAAACAGTGGGAATCAGAACCTAATGAACCCATTTAAAAATGGAAAAATATTAGTTCTGAATTCCATTGTATGAGGTGTTATAGTGAGCCTCAGTGTGTTAAGGATTCACTGTGCTTTTCAGGTACAGCTATAAAGATTCACAGAATTTCTAAATCAAAGGAGAAGTTGGAATATAATGCAATAGGTATATTATTAAAGAACAGCTCATAGAAAGTTACTCTTACTGCTGTATACCAGAACTCTTTGTTTCCACAAAAGTATAATAGTTCCTACTTGTCAAATACCTTTGAGGGCCTTTTCAGTAGCTTGTCATCTTTTTATTTTTTTCATTGTGAATTTCTGTGGGGACTTGTCACTATATCATTTTTGTAACAGTATTCCAAACAATTCCAAATTGAGGCCAACATTACCAAATACATGTCAAACGTTTCAAGTGCTCTGTACCATTTGGCCAGGTTGATGGTGGAAGAGGAAATCGTCCGTGCCCAGTAGTTCAGAGTGTTAATTAGAGATGATGCTGTGTACAAGCTTTCCAGAGGCCTCCTCTCTTCTCCCCTCCAAAGACTACATTATGTGGAAGGTGAAGGTCTTTTCCATCCTACTCTAGGGGATGTCTATATTCTTACCCTACTGAAAAAGGCAAAGTTTGGGAGGCATTTTGGAGATTATGAAGACTATAGAAAGAACCTAGACCCAGGGCAACCAAGTTTGTGTTCTTTCACTGGAGATGTGACTGAGCAAACACCTCCTCTAGGCTTCAGTTTTCTCTCTGATGAAGATGCTTAACAGAATCACTGTTTATCAGGAAAGTATGTGGGGATTAAACAGAGAATGTGCATATAAGCTTCTTATAAGACACATATTCTAAAAACATGCTATTCATATATTAGTTATGTCATTTATGTGTTATATAAAACTATTGATTTACAACCTAGAAAAAACAATTAATTAAATATGAGAATATTTTCTCATGCTCTTTGGTTTTCAAAATAGGTATAATTTTGTTTACAGGTAGTCATAAATCCTAAACTATTTTTTTTGGAAATTCTAACAGACAAAGAGAGAAATGTTCAGATAACAACAGTTTCTTTGGATTTTTCCTAAGTAATACTTTATCATCTGCTCAGTCTTATATTTTTCTCTTTGCACTACACAAAAGTCTGTGAAGCAGGAAAAGATCTCCTCAGTTGTTCTCTTATCGAAGTGACCAAGGTTAAGAGTCACCCCTTACGAATTATGCAAACTAATGCTCATATATTCCCTCTCTAGGAATATGGGAAGACATATCCGATGAAAGTGAAAACATTTATGCTCTACCTGGCTCTGATGTTGACCTGACATGCCAATTACAGAAGAAAAGCCAGTTGGTACAGACCCAATGGTCCAAGGTCACTGACAAGATGGACCTGATTGCCATTTATCATGACCAACATGGCTTCTACTGTGCCAACATGAGTCCCTGTGAGTCCCTGGTGACTTTCCTACAAACTCCTTGGAATGTGACAAAGTGGATCCTGCACTTAAGGAATATCTCTTCATCACTCACTGGAAAGTACAAGTGTAGCTTTACTCTTTTTCCAGATGGCATCCGTACTAGAACCTACAATGTCATTCAGGTACCAGGTGAGCATCGCTGGTGGATGGAGGGAAACTCCTAGCTTCTGCTCTCATTCATCCAATAAATATATGTTCTGCACCAGTTCTGTGCTCAAGCTGTTGTCATCTTGTACAGGATATAGAAGTGAATCCAATAGGTGTAAAATTCAAAGTGTTAATATATTAAGGACTACAACGGTTGTGTGAAAGAGCATTTAGTAGTTGTCAAGGAAACTGTCCTTAAGAAAGAAACATGTGGATTGACGTCTGAAGAGTAAGTAGATAATTTAGGAACAGCTAGGTTTTGTGAGTAATCCAGAGAAAGGAAACAGGTCTATGAAGAGCTTTGCAGGGTTAAAGGAAATGAGATAATGTAAGTGGGTTTACGGAGGAGAGATCAATGGACGAGGTTAGAGATATAGTAGGGACCTTGTCTGTCATGTTCAAGTCTTTGATGTTTATCTGAGAACTGTGAAAAGACATTGAAGTATTTGCCACAAAAGGAAGACATGACATTTATAGCATGACAGCATTTCTTACAAAGTTATGCTAATGGCTTCAGGGTGAGAATGGTATAAAAGTAGACAAAAAGAAAAATGGGAACAAGTTAGGAGAATATCCCAGTAGTTCAGAGGATAAAGAGTGGTACTGAAAGAGCACTGTGAAAGAAAATTACATATTTTATGTAAGGGGCATAATATAGATGTAACTTTGTCACAGGATGAAAATAGGACAAGAGTATTAAGAGCATGGAGAGAAAAACTGAAGGTAGCATCTAGGTTTCTGGCAGCTTTGCCCACATTGTGATGTCAGTTACTGAGCTGGAAGACAAAGGAAGTGGACTGGTTTGTGAATGAGTCTGTGAAATCAACACTGAATATTTAGCAGAGAGCAAGTGAAAGGGGCAAGAAGACTACTGGACAGGTCGTTTTCATATCATGCATGCTTCCAGGGCTTGCATTGGAAAGCATAAATCCTAGATTTAAATCCTAGTGGCTTTTTTAATAGAAATGATTTGAGTTGGGACCTTTCATCTACATTATTTGAGTCCCTTTGGAGAACAGCAATAATAATATTTGCCCTAAATTTCCTGGTCCTAACGTAAATGATTTCCATTTCTACCAATAGAAAGAATGAAAATAAAAGTCAACAAATGGAAAATGCACTGGAAACAGAAAGTTTTAAACTCAGGGACAAAGTGACCTAATAATACACACACACACACACACACACACACACACACACACACACACAGTGAAAGCACATGAACTCCATGCTAAAAAAAAGGTATGGCACTATCTGGGACAAGTAACAGGTACAGATTTATTACCTCCCTTACCTCTTAGCTGTGATATTGGAAGCCTTAGGACGCCCTAGTCCCTTTCTGTTTTCTACAAAATGAGCTCTTCCCCCAGCCCCCTAAAAACACTTAAGTTCAGTGGAGGATAGTAGGTGGGGTAAAGTTGAAATAAAGAGAAACCAAAGATCCATGTAGAGTCATTTAATTATACACACTTTGAAGCTATGAAACCTAGATTTGAACATTGACTATCATTTACTATGTATATCATTATTGCCAAGTTATTACACATCTCTAAGCTTTTGTTTGCTTACATAACAAATGTATACAATTATCATTCCTCTTTAATGGGTACCATCATTCTGAGAATCAAAGGAGATCATCTGTGTAAAGCTCTAGGCATAGTCCCTGCCAAAACGTAAGAACTTGGCAAATGATAGCTTTTATTACAAGTAATAATATCAATACTGAGTGAGATCTGGTCTTCAAGTCTTATTAAAGATGAGCCCACCTCTCTCTGTTTTATACTGGTCTAACTTGGAACCTGACAGAATATGTGCCATACTTTAGTGCAAGTCCTCTTTGATCTTGACTTTACACACCCGGATTTTATACCTGCTGCTTATGCCAGTCAGCTGCAGTATAGTATATCTGAGGACTTAATCTGTACTCTGTTGAGAAAGTATTGCACGGAGGAAATACTCTGTAGAAAATAGGATGTGTAATGGGGAGAATGAAGACAGCAATGGAAAAGAGACAATACCCAGACATCGCAGTGGCATGGTCTTTAATGAAAGCACATTTCTTACAATAAAGGCCAACATGAAGAAGTTAAACATACAACTACTAAACACTATAAATGCTTAGAAAGTCAGAGCATAGCTATACCCTCCGTATTTGGAAAATTTTGGATCTTATTGGAACTTTGCCACAGATAGCACCTATCAGATGAAACACAATGACCTCTGAGTTAGGGAAATTGTTCTTGTATTGTGTATTTGGGTGCAAAGGAACCAAAACTTAAAGAGCAAATTTTAAAAAGTGTTATGGTTTATATCTGGATTTCCCCCCAGTGCCTCATCTGGTCAGAATGGGAGTTTGTGAAAGAGGATTGGATTTCAGGGGTGTCATAGCTGATTTGCTGTTGAGAGGTGTGGTCTGGCAGGGAAAGGGGGTCGTTAAGGTAGTGGCCTGAAGAATATGACTCTTTCATGGCTCCTCTCTTTTCTCTCTGCTTGCTGGATGTCCTTCCTGGAGGACCTTTGCCTCCATGATGCCCCTCTGCCATGCCGACCACCATGAAGCCAGACAATTTGGGTTAAAATCTCTACATGATGAGTTAGAATAAACCTTAACTCAGGCCCTTAACTCAGAGGAAAGACCAGCCAACTAGCAGCCCTAACCAGTCCCACAAGGGCACAGCCTCTCGCTCCCTTGTATTTTTTTGACCTTCTGTCACTTCCTCTCTTAAAGAGCAAATTTGGTCATCCTCTCTTGATCATCTCTCTCTTTTCATTTGAGATGTTCCAGCTTCCACACTAATTGGGTAAATAAAAAACTCATGAAGTGCAAACACTTAGGAAGTGTATAAACAGATGCAAATTGAAGCTATATATAAGAATCTACATGTGAAAAGCTTAAGCACTAGAAGTGGCTAGGTTAATTACCTCTACCTGTTTCTTTTCTCTTGTCATCTGAGTCATTCTTCCTTGTCTGGTGATGAAACAGTATGTGTCAAAATCCTCTTTTCATGTTCCCTGAAGGTTTAGCTGAGAAGGAATTTGTTCTCTTTGCACAGTATTTTGTCCCTGTTTGTATCTTAGTGAGCCAAGGCTACAAACAAGAATTGAAATATAATAAACAGCTTGGCATTTGCTTCTGTTTCATTTTCACTTTACAGGGTTTCTTCCTACAAGACGAGCTTTTGAATTATTCTGAGAAACATAGCTCACAGAGTTAAGCCTTGGAGTGTTCTAATCTACATTTCTTTAGTTCTAGTGCTACTGAATCCCTATCATGCTTCAGATTGCAAAATTTTAGTGAGCATCTTTGCACTGACCATCGACATAATTGTCATCACATATACAGCCTCATTTTATTTAATTCCTTATCAGTTGCCATCTTTCCACTGAAGATATTAAAGATATTTCATTTGGGCATCAATCTTTAAAATACAAGGATGCTGCAAGAAAACAATCATAATACCTTTCCAGAACTATAAAATTAGTAAATCCTTAATATCATCAAGTATCTTACTAGCCTCCCCTTCTATATACTTTTTAAAATATGGTCCAAATAAATTTGATAGATTATGAGTATTTGATAAATACATATTGATCTAAAGGCTCCCCCCCCATTTTTGTTTTCCTTTACAGTGTCTTTGTTGAACAAATTTGATGACTTTGTCTTACAGCTCTATTGAAAGCTGGGATTTTGTTCTTATATTCTTATATATCACCATGATCATTTGCTTTATTGAGAGTATTACTAAGTGATTATATCAAAGTTTTTGTTTTAATGTTTTGTATTCTGGCAAGAGTACTTCAGAGGCACATAATTTCTGGTCATGTGATAATTACAACCACTGATGATTATTACCTAGATATATTAAATCATTATGATTTGCCAAATAGTGTATTCTAATATTCTAATTCTACAATTATTAATTTATTAAAGTATCTATAAAGATTAACTTCCTTTCATCACTCTTATTGCTTACTAGATGTAACTTTGTGTAAAAATAGCAAAATAGGCATGCATGCAGCCCTGGGTTTGATCTTCAGGACTGCACACACAAAAAACTAGAGGCAAGAAAAATAGAATACATACTTAATTCTTTTTCTTTACTTATTACTTTTTAAAATTATTTGATTCACTAACATTTTTAGAAGGCGTCCTTAAGTGCTTGATGCTAAGTATCTGAATTCATATAAATTTAAACATATTAATGAGTTCATCATAATCTTTATCCTTATTATGCTGAAAATGTCCCATATATAAATGCTACTAACCTTTTTGACGTAAGTTGCAAATATTTTCTGCAGTTTGTCATTTATTCTTGCTTCACAATGTTGTTTCCAGTGCAGAAAAATTCTTTCTCTTATAAAGCACAATCACTTTTCTCATTTATTGATTCTGATTTTTAATTTTCTGTTTTTAATGTTTTGGTTCTGAGGACTAAAGCTGGTTCTGAGGACTAAATCAGTAAAGATACTGATTTCAGTCACAGTTTAGAAATGATTTCCCATTTCCAGATTTCATGGAAATTTTCTGTCTCTTTTTTTAAACACTTACACAGGTTCTTTTTGTATTTCTCTAATTTTTCCCACATTTTTATTAGTGTATATTAATTATACAGACAAATGAGCTTCATTTTGGCAGCTTATATATGAACATAACACATTACCATTTGCACAGCCCATTAACTCCCAAACCCCACCTACCCACTCACTAATTTCATGGTTTTTAAAAGATGTGAGTTAATGTGTATAATGTATTTTGATTTTATTATACCTTATTACCCATCCTAGTATCTTCTCCTTCTTCCCTCACTCCTGTCTAGTGTTAGTCTTCTGTCTACTTTCCTGTCGTCTTTTTTGTATTCCACATGTTAGGGAAAACATGCAATATTTGTCTTTCTGAGTCTGGTTGATTTTTCTGAACATGATAATCTTCAGATCTATTCATTTTCTTGCAAATGACAGCATTTCACATTTTCTTTATCTGT